GTCATCATGATGAGCAGCAGCATCATTGTCAAAATCATCATCGTCATCGTCACCGTCCTCAACAACAGCATCATCATCAGCAGCAGCATCCTCAACATCCTCATCATCAGCATCACCATTAGCATCATCTAAATCAGCATCGCCATCGGCATCACCATCGTCATAATACTCTCTGGCAACAACTTCATAACCGACATCAGCAGCCACAGCAGTCGCATCATCATCATAATCATCATCATGATCATCAGCAACAGCATCATCAACAACAGCATCAGTATCGTCAGAATCGTCATCATCATCATCATCAGCATCATCATCAGCAGCACCATCATCGGCAGTACCATCATCAGTAGCAGCAGCAGCATCATCATCATCACAAGTTATCATCATCATCATCATCATCACCATCATCATCGTCATCATGATCGTCACCAGCAGCATCATCCACAGCATCAGTATAAGCAAAATCATCGTTAACAACAAAGCCGTAATAATCATCATCATCATCATCATCATCATCATCATCATCACCACCATCAGCATCATCGTCATTGATAATATCGACGTCATCATCAGCAGCATCATCAGCATCATCACCACCAGCATCGTAATCACCCTCACCAACAACAACAGCATAATCAGCATCATCATCATCAGATGCAGCATCAGCATCAGCATCAGCATCAGCATCAGCATCAGCATCACTATCATCATCATCATCATCATCATCATCATCATCATCATCATCATCATCGTCGTCATGATCATCATCAGCAGCATCATCACCATAGTCATCGTAGCCATCATCATCAGCAGCATGATCGTCCTCAGCCTCTTCATCATCAACAGCAGCAGCATCATCATCATCGTCATAATCCCCCTCGACCTCCATGATCGTGTTCCTCCTCCTCTCCGACCGAGGGTGGAAAGTTAAAGAACCCAAACCCAAACCCGATCCTGGATCCCACGGCACCTCCTACTGCAGGTGCACTCTGCGACGACGTCGGCGTCGGCGTCTGGCACCGCGCGGGTCGTTCGGCCTTGCACGATCGCGGCCACCCGGTAGCGCAGATCGCTCTCGGCATCGGTCGACTCGGGGCCGCTGGCGGCGGAGGCGGCCAGAGCAGTCACGCTGTCAACTCGTCGACTCCGGAGAGCCGCGACCGTTCATCGCCGAACGGTCCACGTGGCCCCAGAGACCAGCGAGCATGTCGGCACGACACGCAGCCGCCGCAGGCAGCGTCCACGAAACCCACCAGAGAGGGGCAGCTGCCTTGACTGTCTCAAGGTGGGCCCACCAGACCTCTGGACGACCATGCCAGCCTCTCGTCCCAGACCGCTTGGTCGACCGCCGCAGAGCCCGAGCACGGCGGAGAAGGGAGGAGGAGGAGGAGGAGGAGGGAGGGAGGAGGAGGGAGGGAGGAGGAGGGGGGGAGGAGAAAGAGGAGGAGGAGGAGGAGGAGGAGGAGGAGGAGGAGGAGGAAGAGGAGAGGAGGAGGGGGCTTCCAGCGGCCAAGAGCGCCGAGGATCCTCCACCATGCTTGTATCAGGCACACGCCAACGATGAAGGAGCCGCGGGCTTGGCACAGTGGTCAAGGAAGGCACCCCCCACACTTGAGGCCGGTGCGGCCTGATCTGGCGACGGGACGCGCCGATTCTTCACCGAAGCGGGCGCCGTCGCTCAGCCACGCGCCTCGGTCCATGCTTGCCCTTCCTTGGTTGCGCCAAGCTCTTGAAATCCGACGATGCGACAAAGTTGAAACATTGTGGAAAAATCCGTCACCCGTCTTCTTGCTGTATTTTTCGAACCAGGTCGATCTGTGCTGGCCCCAGGGCCCGAAACCAGGCAAAAACGGCCAGTGTGAAAACGATGCGGCAAGACATTGATGATCGCTCCATTGCCCCACGGCTGGCAACCAGGCGCGGGCCTCGCATCTAGTATGGCGCGGGGCATCGTAAAAAAATGAGAGAGGCCCGGCCAATGCGTCCTGGCGACGCGCGGCTGCATTGGAAGAGCCGCCGCAAGACTGGAACTCGGCAGAGAGAGAAAGGAGAGCGGGACGACTGGACGGAGGCCGCGACGACGACGACGACGAGGCAGACAAGGCATCCGTCAGCGGCAGCCTCTGAGCACGGATCGCGTCGAGCGCGCCCCAAAGGGGTGCGTCAGAGAGGGGGGTCGCAACGCGTGGCCCGAGGCACGCGCGCGGCCCAGGGGGGTGGCCCGGGGACAGATCGGCATACGAAGAGACGCCACGCAAGCTGGGGAGATGGCATGGCTCACCTCCTCCTCCTCCTCCTCCTCATCCTCCTCCTCCTCCTCCCCCTCCCCCTCCCCCTCCTCCTCCTCCCCTCTCCTCCTCCTCCTCCCCCTCCTCCCCTCCTCCCCCTCCCTCCTCCCCTCCTCCTCCTCCTCCTCCTCCTCCTCCTCCTCCCCCCCTCCTCCTTCTCTCCTCCTCGCCTCCTCCTCCTCCATGATATCCACCCCCCTGAGACATCACACCCATCTTGGCCCCCCCCCCCAAAAAAAACTGCAGCGTGCACATATCTCGAGGCACGTCGGGAGCCAAGGCAGGACCCGTCGGCATCGAACCTGGACATGAAGCAGTACCGGATTGCGCCTCGGGCCGAGCCGCATCGGCACGGACAGCCGAGAACGGACTGGATCGGTCAAACCAGGGTGCACAACAGCGCCACGCAAGCATCGGGCCGCACCGGCTCGTCGCGAGCTCGAGACTGCGCCGGATCGAGCTGGCCAGCGTCGATACCGAACCAAGATCGGCTAGACCGACATGGGCCACGCTGGGTCGGGCGCGCGCCCTCCTTCCCCCGAGGGAGGGAAGCCGCGGAGCCCCCGCGCATGTGGAAGGGATGAGTGTGCCCGAGGGCTTGTCTGCATGTGCCCACCCCCTGTGGGACAGAGCCCGCACTACGAGCCGGGATGCCCCCCAGAGACGCGTGCGCCTCGAGGGCAGCGCACGGTGAGGTTCTGGGTAGACAGACGCGGGCGTCACCGCCGACGTGGCCTGCAACATCTTCACAGCGCTCTGGGCCGACACCGAGGGCGCAGAGGAGGAGGAGGAGGAGGAGGAGGCGGAGGAGGAGGAGGGGGAGGAGAGGGGAAGGAGGGGGAAGAGGAAGGAGGAGGAGGAGGAGGAGGAGGAGGAGAGGGGAGGAAGAGGAGGGAGGGGGGAGGAGGAGGAGGAGGAGAGAGGGGGAGGGGGATGAGGAGGGCGCTCGGGGCCGAGGCCACCGCCGCCACGGCGCGGCGCCCACAGCAGCCACGGCCAGGCCTCGGCAGCCCACTCGCGGGGTGCTCCAGGGCGGCCTCGGCGCAAGCAGCCCAGACACGCTCGCACTGTGAGAGCATCGCGCGACGGGGGCAGCCAGCTGCGGCCAGCCAGTGTTGAAACAAAAACCCTCCTCCTTGTCCTCCTCCTCCTCCTCCTTCTCCTCCTCCTTTCCTCCTCCCCTCTCCTCCTCCTCCTCCTCCTCCTCCTCCTCCTCCTCCTCCTCCTCTCCCTCCCTCCCCTCCCTCCCTCCCTCCCTCCCTCCCTCCCTCCCTCCCCTAGCCCTCCCTCCCTCCCCTCCCTCCCTCCCTCCCTCCCTCCCTCCCTCCCTCTCCTTCCTCCTCTCCTCCTCCCTCCTCCCCTCCTCTCCTCCTCCTCCTCCCCGCCTCTCTCCTCCTCCTCCTCCCATCCTCCTTCTCCCTCCTCCTCCTTCTCCTCCTTCTCCTCCTCATATGCTCAAGGCCACGCTGTGTCCCCCCTGATGCCGCTTGCGTCCGTTATCTCAGTGCCCCTGCCAGGTGGTCACTATCTCAGGAGCAATCCGCTGGTGTTGCGTTTAGTGTTGAAACCAAAACCTCCTCCTCCTCTTTCTCCTGCCTCCTCCTTTTCCTCCTCCTCTCCTCCACCTCCTCCTCCTCCTGCTGCTCTCCTCCTCCTCCTCCGTCCTCCTCATCCATCCTCCTCCTCCTCCTCCTCCTTCTCCTCCTTCTCCTCCTCCTCATATGCTCAAGGCCACGCTGTTTCCCCCCTGATGCCGCTTGCGTCCGATATCTCAGTGCCCTTGCCAGGTGGTCACTGTCTCAGGAGCAATCCGCTGGTGTTGCGTTTAGTGTTGAAACCAAAACCCTCCTCCTCCTTCTCCTCCCCCTCCTCCTCCTCCCTTCCTCCTCCTTCTCCTTCCTCCTCCTCCTCCTCCTCTCCTCCTCCTCCTCCTCCTCCTCCTCCTCCTCCTACCTCCTCCTCCTCCTCCTCCTCCTCCTCCTCCTCCGCCTCCTCCTCCTCCTCCTCCTCCTCCTCCTCCTCCTCCTCCTCCTCCTCCTCCTCTCCAGGCGCCCCTCCTTCCTCTATTTTCTCGCTGGCCAGACGCCCCGAGGCTCTTAGAGGCCCGCTCCCAGCTCGCCTCGGGCAGGAGGCGCAGGAGGGCCGCCACGGCAAAAAAGGTGAAAAAGGGGCGGGGGGAGGAGGAGGAGGAGAGGAGGATGAGAGAGGAGGAGGAGGAGGAGGAGAGGGGAGAGGAGGAGGAGAGGAGGAGGAGGAGGAGAGGAGAGGAGGAGGAGGAGAGGAGGAGAGAAGAGGACGGAGGAGGAGGATGAGGAAGCAGGAGGATGCAGGAGGAGGAGGGAGGAGGAGGAGGAGGAGGAGGATGAGGAAGAGGAGGGAGGAGGAGGAGGAGGAGGAGGAGGAGGAGGAGGAAGAAGGAGGAGGAGGAGGAGGAGGAAGAAGGAGGAGGAGGAGGAGGAGGAGGAGGAGGAGGGAGGAGGAGGAGGAGGAGGAGGAGGAGGAGGAGGAGGAGGACGGGTCGCCTAAGCCCTTCGGAGAAACCCTCCACTGGGACCCCCGGGAGCGCGGAGCGACCCCGCCAGGGTGCCGAGAACGTCCTGGACGACTCGGACGGCCTGCCGAGGCCAGCCAGGACGGCCCGGGAAGGGCTGCCGGTGCGCAGCCCAGAGCACCACCACCACCACCACCGGCAAGGAAAGAAAAGTCGTCCTCTTGAAGAGGCGGCGGGCCGCGCGCATCATGAGGCCTGCGGGCGCGGGGGAGGGGGGCTCAATGGCTCTTCGTTTCCGCATCATCGACTGCAGGATCGAAAGATAGCAGCGATGATGAGCGAGGAGGAGAAAGCGGTAACGAAGAGAACGAGGAGCCAGGAGAGAAACTGCGGCATCGCCTCCTCCAATGCTTTCCTTCTGCCTCCTCCCTTCCTGGCATTCTTAACACAAAAATATACGTCAGTCTCCAGTCTGCCCTGGGAACCAGATCTTCACGTCATCTGCTGCGGAAACTCAGACCTCCGACCCTTACCACGCGTTCTCGAATACTTCATATGAGATGCGGTCGGACCTAGGACAGAAGAACGGCCTTCAAGAACACGAGAGCATCCGCCGGCCAGAACACACAGAGCACCCAAGGGCACCCTCCCCAGAGTGCACGAGAACGTCCAGCACGCACGCAGAACACTGGGCTGCCCTCCCCGAACCGACCTCGATCTCATACCTCGGTCCGACTGTGCAGGAGGGGGGGGGGACGACGAGCCGCCGCCGGCGCAGGAGGAGAGCCCCGCGATCCTCAGAGAGGCACGACGACTACCAACAATCCGCTCGGAGGATGCTCTGGACGAGGACAGGGAGCCACATGCGAACCCTACCCCTGCCCCCCACGATTTCTGAGGGGGAGGGTGGGGTTCCCTTCGCTCGGGAGCTCCCGAGCGAAGGGAACCCCAGCCTCCCCCTCAGAAATCGTGGGGGGCAGGGGTAGGGTTCGCATGTGGCCCCCTAGAGGAGCACCCAGGGAGAGCTGAGCGGAAGCGGCGGCGGCGAAGCACGAGCCGCCGCAGGCGCGGGGGGAGGACCTACAAAGTCGGCGCGTAGCAGAAGGATGCGCGAGGAGGCTGCAGGGGCCTCGGACGCCCACTTCGGAGCTTCCCGAGCGGGGCGCGGCCAACGAAAGTGGCCAAGGATGGGCCGAGGAGGCAAGGGCGCGATGGGCACCCTTGGGAAAATGACCCATCCTTACCATGCGGGCTGACTGTAGGGGTCATCGGAGGAGGAGCACGACGGCGACCAAGAATCCTCCCGTGACCGCCGACAGGGCTCAGAAGGCCGAAAACCTCATGAAACCCTCGCCCCTCGATCCCCCACGACGACGACGAGGACGACGACGACGACGACGACGACGACGACGACGACGACGACGACGACAACGATGACGACGACGACGACGACGACGACCACGACGACGACGACGACGACGACGACGACGACGACGACGACGAAGGAAGGAGGACCCAGAGGTGAGCGAGCGATGAGGCGCAGCAGGAACAGGAAGATCTTTGTGAGGAGGCGAGGCGCAGACATACGTCCAGAAGGACGGCCCTATGAAAGCACGGCGGTTGGGCTGGAGCCCGGGATGCACTGGGGACCCCCGTGTGATTCATGAGCGTGAAACTCGCGAAAGAAGGGGGGAGGGCGGCGACGACGACGACGACGACGACGACGACGACGACGAAGGACGAGAGCAAGAACTGAGACAATTGGGCAAAAGAAATGCACTCCGAGGAGGCCGGCTAAACGCCAACGCATAAGTGTCAGAATGTATACGAAGAGGCGAAAGAGTGGGAGGATCGAAGCAACGCGAGGTGCACAAATCAACTGAAGGCATGCGCTCCTCAGGAGACCATGAAACCTATGATGATGCCCTTGTGGATTTCTTCCTGGAATGCCGACGATTAAGAATATTAGACTGGGCTTGTCTGGCGAACCAAAAACTCGGTGTCCATTACTGTCACAATAAGGGTTCACGCCATCATCTTCAATCAGAAATTATTGTCTGCCCTTATCTCTGACTACGCAACTTGCAGATGATGTATACAACGCTTGTCCACTAAATCCGCGGAGTCGTATTTGAGAGCCACTTGCCTCCTGAATCAGGGTGCCAATGTGCAAATGCCTTTTGCACTCTTATATAATGAGGGACCCTGTCATCTTCTTCCATGCACTCTGGGCTGCAGCAAAGAGCTGGTAAGTATGTTCACGAAGTAAAGTTTGTACCGAAGTAATGTAAATCCTATGCCATGCATGCAAATGCCCGAGCATGTCCGGGAAATAGTTTATGAGATTATGTCCGGTCGCTGTCTGTCAGCTTGCAATACACTGCCATTTCTGCCAACACATCAAAGACATCCTTAGGTTCTTCAGCAATGCCTCCAAAATCCTCCGTCTCTATTTGGCCTGTACCGCAGGATGTCATTGCGTGCCTGTCAAAATATGGTCGCACATAGTTTCGAGCTTACGAAATCCACCAACACATACATTAGTTCAAGGCATCCTGGCCTCGATATACCTTCACGTGTGCTGGAATCCTCGCAGAGCTTCTGCTCAAAGTTCGCTACTTCTGAGGGGGAAGAAGAGAAGGAGGAGGAGAAGAAGGAGAAGGAGGAGGAGAAGGAGCAGTGGACACGGCACGATGACATGCTCGGCGACGCAGCGAAGGAGCGGGCAAGGCGGGAGCGAAAGGAGCGATCCAGAGGCAAAGCGGAGACGACGGCGACGGCGTCGGCGATGGGGACGGCGACGCCAACGACGACGGCGACGGCAACGACGACGACGACGGCGACGACGATGACGAGCGAAGGAGGACCCAGCAGGTGAGCGAGGGATGCGCCGCAGTAGGACCGGGAAGAAGACCAAAAGGGCAAGTGGGGACGACGATGACGACGACGACGACGACGACGACGACGACGACGACGACGACGACGACGACGACGAGGCAGGGGGGGCGCCTTCGTCCCGCCGTCCGTCGCGGCCGTCGGAGGTGCCAAGGCGGCCCATCATCGTGTGAGTCTTGCCGCTGCCTCGCCCGGCGCGGGGCTCGGCCGGCCCACGCCGCGAGGAGGGCTCCTCCTGACCCTTCGATCCACTCCGATGCAGTGCGGAAGGGCAGGCCAGTGGCCCAACCCTGACGTCCGCTCCTCTACGGAGACGCCGACGGAGGGCACGACGAAGCAAGAGCGGCACCAGAACTCAGGCGGAGGCCAGCGACTGACGAACCAAGGTGTGATATACGTACTCCGCTCCCTGTTACGTTGTACAGCCATTGATGGGATGGCCGTTGCGTCTATGGAGGCGTTCGCGATCGAGCAACAAACATTATCCTGGCGAAGGACCCAACTATATCCAGGTGTGAGCACCGCGTTGTGGCCACCGCTTTCGTTGGAGCTCCCGATGGGACCACGAAGCGTGCGAGAGGTGTGCCAGAATGGGTGAGGAACCGCCTGCGAATTGCGCCGCGGAGGCACTCGGTGGAGCTGCCTATGGGGCCGCGAAGAAACGAGTGAGGGAATGCCGAAATGAGTGGGGATCCGCATGAACTGCGCCACAGAGGCACTCGGTGGAGCCCCCTTATGGGGCCACGAAACGTGTGAGTGGTGTGCCGAAACGAGGGCGACGCCCACATGCGAACTGCCTCAAAACGTGTGAGGGGCGTGCCGAAACGAGGGTTACCACCCACATGCGAACTGTGCCACTGGGGCCTCAGGTGGAGCTCCCTATGGGGCCAAGAAACATGTGAGTGGCATGCCAGAACGAGGGTGACGCCCACGTGCGGATTGCTTCACTGGGACATTAGCTGGAGCTCCCTATGGGGCCACGAAACGTGTGAGGGAAGTGCCGAAACAGGGGTGACGCCCACATGCGAAGTGCGCCACTGGGACCTTAGCTGGAGCTACCTATGGGGCCACGAATCGTGTAGGGGGTGTACCGAAACGGGGTGAAAGGAGGAGAGAGGAGCAGCGGGAGGAGGAGGGAGGAGGGACGCAGGGCGCTGTTTCCTCAAAACGAGGACCCGACACCACAGGATGGTAGGGAAAAAAGCGGATCGGAACGCAACACGCGATCGAACTGGGGCCATTGTATCGATACCCCCTGCGCTGGCAAGATGCACGCCATGAAAGGAAGAAGGGAGGCGAAGATGTGAGGGGAAGGGAGAGAAGCCCTGTCGGACGCAGAGGTGGGCATCAGACAAGAACCGGCCTCCTCCTCCTGCTCCTCCTCCTCCTTCCAAGCCGCAAATGCTCCCAGCAAGTACACGGATGGAGGGCCAGCCGTTTTTCAAAATGTGACGTTCGCCTTACCGCCGCGATCATGTGTCTTAACAACTTGAAAGCGGCTACACGGCTGGAAACCAGTACGCTTTCGAAGTGGGATTATCGCTGGAGACTGCCTCAACAGACACCGCCACAAGTATAACCTGTTGCACGCGCTTCACGGCTGCAGGCGACTCTTTCCGAAATAGGACTCTCGCCTGACATCTCCCGAAGATGCACCACTCAAGTGTAAAGCCGCGAAGCAATTACACGGATGGAGGTCGTCTCTGTTCGCCGTGGGGCTCTCGCTTTAGTCGACATCGTCGTCGTCGTCGTCGTCGACGTCGTCGTCGTCGTCGGTGTCGTCGTCGTCGTCGTCCGCAGGACCACAAGAAAAACATTGCTCTCGTCGAGCTCAACCCGTGCTCCCCCGCGCGCCCGCGCCCGCCCCCTCCCCCGGCCCCCTTGCGAAGCCAGCCTGTCTGCCCGTAGGCGAGCACCGTGGCCGAGTACCCCTCGATGGCCGAGTCGAGGAGGTGCGTGACGCCGCACTCCTGGAACACCTGGCACGGCTGGACGGCCGGCAGCACGGGGCGAGGAGAGGGGCGAGCGCACAGCTGCAACCGCCTGGCTGTACTGACGCCACTCTGGGGGCCAGGCGACACGGTCGATGTGGGGGGGGCGCTGGGCCGTGCCTGGTGGCAAACCTTGAAGGCTGGTTTGGTCCTCCGGTGTCGCCGCGGCTGGTGGCGCCTTCGTGTCGCCGCGGCCGGTGGCGATGGCCGCAGGTGCGGAAGTGCAATGGCAGCAACCGTTTCTTGTCACGAAAACAACAAGGATAAGCAAATCGATAAATCCGACTCCATCCGAAAGGGCTGTCGCAATCGCGCGATTTACGGGCAGATGGCGGCAGCAATGTCAGCACATACGAGGCTGAATTCAAACCCATGGTTCGGGGGTCTGGCTGCATAGCCATATGGCGAGTGTGTCATGTGGCATGGGCGCGACAAGATATTACGGACAGATCATACGGTCTGCGAGTATCCCGTTGCAGACGAGCTAACAAGCGTGCAGAAGCCCCCGAGTACAGGTGCACGACGAGCAAAAAGCGCTGAGGGCCCGAAGGACGCGCACTCCACCGTCCGACGCCCGTGACTGTGCCTACTGGAAGGGTTATCCTGCGCCACCAGACGCGTACCACCCGCTCTCCCCAAATCGGCTGAGCAGAGCGCAATTTATAAGGCCCCGAAGGACGCGCACTCCACCGTCCGACGCCCGTGACTGTGCCCACTGGAAGGGTTATCATGCGCCACCAGATGCGTACCACCCGCTCTCTCCAACTGGCGGATTCCGGAAACCCTGGACCCAAAAGTGTTGTCACTTCTTCGAGGCGCATTTTTTACTTCCGCTACCTTCCGCCGCCCCTCCGCCGGCTTCCGTCGGCGGAGGCGGCCTCGTTTTGTTTTCGCCGACCTTTCGCCGCCCCTCCGCCACCTTCCGCAGTCGCGCCAGCGCCGCCGGCTCAGAAGGAAGAGCGAGGGAGGTGGGGAGGAGAAGACAGGGGAGAGGGGGGGGGCGGAGGGAGAAGGCGCGGAGGAGGGATGAGGGGTGAAGACGGAGACGGGTGGAACGAGGAAGGAAGGGATCAAGAAGGCGCGAGGGAGCACGGAGCAGAGGAGGCGGCGGGGGGCAGCTGAAGACCCTCGCCCCCATCATTGGAAACCTGGCCGAGCGCGAGACCGCGGGCGGGTCGCAGCCGTGGGGCCGCCCGCGTGCACCAAGCAACGCACGGGCATACAACGTGTGCCGCTTTACGGGTAGCGCACTGGGAAAAATTGAAGGTGGTGAGAAGGTCCCCCTGAACAGGGAAGGGGCGAGGAGGGAGGGAGGAGGGGGAGAGGGAGGGAGGAGGAGGGAGGACCAGTGCAAACACAAGACTCATCAACGATCTTGCCAAAAACATGATTCCAAGATCCCACTGCACAGGCCACTACAAGGGTTTTCAGACTAAGAGAAATGCAACGTTGGAAGATAGCTAATTGAAACATCCTACACTGCGCCAGAACACCACCGCTGGGATGTCAACACCGCGAACTGCCGTTGCCGTTGCGTCTTGACGATCCTGAACCGTGCCGGAGCACCATTCCTGGGACCTCAACACCGCGAATCAACACAACTGTTGCGCCCTGACAATCCGACATCGTGCCGAAACACCACCTCAGGCACGTGAACCAAGAGAATCCTTGCAACTGCTATAAACACTTAAGGTGAAAACGCGCGGCGCTAAAAAGCGAAAAACATGCTGGAAAGAAACCGCCTTTCATCCGTGACACTCTTGCAAACTGGTATGACGAATGTGCGCAGCGCCAGAGCGAGAGCCACATTTTGAATACCACCGGCCCCCCATCCATGAAATCGTGCAAACTTTAATTTGCACGCACGCGGCGCTAAGGCGATAGCCACATTTTGAAAACAACCCGCCGTCCATCCGTGAAGCTCCTGCAAGCTCTTACGACCAATGCGCCCGGCGCCAAGGCGAGAGCCACATCTTGAAAACGGCCCGCCCTCCATCCGTGAAGCTGCTGCAAAGTTCAAGTTTCAGTGTCATACATGGTGAAGATGTCTCAAGCGAGATGCCCGGCCCGCCCTTTCGACACGCCTCGGGGTGCGACTGGAAGGAACTCAGTATATAAGGAAAAGGAATGGAGGAGAAGGAGGAGGAGGAGGCGAAGAAGGAGGAACAGTGTAAACCCAAGACCCATCGGCGATACTGCAAGAAAAACTCTCCCTCCAGGTTCCGTCTTCATGCGCCCCAACGAGGGTTCATTTTCACCCAGGGAAATGCCCCGCTGGAAAGCAACAGTTTGAAAATCCTCCAGCGCACCAGAACATCACTCCTGAGAACTGAACGCCGCGAATCGCCGCTGCTGTTGCGTCTTGACGATCCTGAATCGTGCCAGAGCACCGCTCCTGGGACTTCAACACCGCGAATCAACAGAATTGTTGCGCCCTGACAGCCCAACATCGTTCCGAAACACCATCTCACGGACGTTAACCAGGAGAACGATTGAAACTGCGATG